CCTTGCAAGCTTTGATACGCGGATTCTGATATCGTAGGCTTGAGTGCATCAGCCAGTGGGCTGCCGGTGGTGATGAGAGCGTTTCGCTTGGCTCATCTGCTCACCGCGGGTGGGCCTCTGTGAGCTCGATCGCGTCTCTGGAGCGTTTTCCCTTGATACATTCGCCCAAAGGACCTGCAGCCTGAGCGAAATCCTTGTGCAATTCCGAATGCTACACGGTTGTCCCAGAATCGCTTTCCTCTTTGTTCTTTGTCGTGAGCACAGGAAGAAGGACCCTCCGATGTATGAAGAAAAGTATGGGTGAAGACATTGAATTGTGGATCTTTGCCACCGAGCGCTACTACGCAAGCAGACGTGAGTTAATGGAGGCAGACTCGTCAGGTTTCGTGACGATAATCTCCAGCAGCTTAGGCAAGTCAGTGTTGAACTGGTATCGCGCTTTTATAGCCGAATGTGAGAGAGCGAGTGTGAACCCCACGTGGTCGTTGTTTAAGCAACAGCTGCGCACGCGCTTTCGACCAAAGGACTTCGAGTATGATCTTCGCGAGAGAATGTTTCGTCTCAAACAGACCGAGACTATTCACGAGTATGTCTCCAAGTTTCAAGACCTGCTGTCGCAGACAGAATTGACGATCAGTGAGTTGGAGAAACGATTCTTCTTTTAAAACGGGTTACGTGAAGAAACAGCAAAGAAGATCAAAGAAGAGAGTCCATCAACGCTACAAGAAGCCATTGAAATTGCTTCGAGCTTCGAGTTTGCGCACTACTCCGGGAAACCTCCTCGAGCACCTTCGAAGCCTTCAAAAGAGTCGTCGGACTCGGGGCATCATCCGCCTAAATCGAAACAGCAGAACAACAAGCGTTACGAAAAGAAAAAAGGGCAAGAACGATGATTGGAAAAAGACAGCTACGTGCATAAATTGTGACAAGGTTGGTCACATTTCTCCAGATTGTACTCAGCCAAAACGTACGGAAGCAAACCGGTACATGCAGGGCGCAGTGTATGCGATCCTAGAGGCTGAAGCTCGAGCATTCAAGACGGAAGACCAAGAGAGGCCCGTCACGATATTCATTGACAACGGCAGTAGCCTGAACGGCGTAACTGAGGAGTTAGTGATGAAGCTTGAGTTGGATGTCACTGAAGGTGACATGATGCAAGTTGATCTCGGTTATGATCAGATTGTGCATCGTCCACGTCGGCCTGTAGAGATGTCTCTACAGTTACCAGGATTTCCCTTGACAACGGGAACATTCCAAGTCATGCCTGTTCCTGAGGGAAAGGACATAGTTTTAGGCATGATGTGGCTGCGGGAGCAGAACCCTGACATCGACTGGAGTACTGGACAGATTGCACCTCGCATCAACGTGGAGAACACGCAGACTGTGAAGTTGAGACTGCCAAAGACACGTCCAGCCCGTTGGGTGGCAGGACAACGCCGCGCCAGAATTGCGCAGAGCCGTGAGATCTACAACTACTATCGGCAGCATGGCCACAACGGCCAGTTTGGACGAACGAAGGTTATTTCGTCCAACCAGTTCCAGCAAATGTTGCGTAGGGACAAGGACATCGAAGCGGTGTTTGTTATCAATCCGCATGACTCAGAGAAGGCGGAACGCTTCAAGAGTCAAGGATGGGATGCTCTCAAGGACAATTCGGCGTACGATACGCTACGTAAGTATGCGGATACGGTTTTTCGCACGGAACTTCCGAATGAGACACCCCCAGTACGTGAAGGGATTGAGCATGAGATTCTGCTCAAGCCTGATACTTCGCCTATTTCGGTGAAACAATGGCGCCAAAGTCCTGATCAGAAGAAAACGATACAGGAATGGACAAAAGAGATGGTTCAAGCTGGCATCATTCGACCGAGTACGTCAGCGTTTTGTGCACCGACTTTCTGTGTGAAGAAACCAGTCGGATGGCGAATTGTGCACGACTATCGTCAGTTGAATTTAGCTACGGTTCTACCGGCTATTCCAGTGCCTCGCAAAGAAGACACCTTTGATGCGATGGCCGGCAGCTATTGGTACTCGTGCATGGACTTACTCTGGGGTTACTACCAAGTTAAGCTACGTGAATCAGATATATCTTTTACTGCTTTTTCGACTCCAGACGGTCTTTTTGAACATCTCGTCACGCCCATGGGACTCAGCGGTAGCCCGGGAACCTTTAACAGGTTGTTACAGAAGATTTTTAGGGATTTACGTGACGTGATGCGGATCTACTTCGACGACATTTACGTGTACACCAAGAGTGAGGATGTCGACGAGCATATTGCCGCGTTGGACAGGGTTTTGAGGAGATGTGAAGAGCAGAAGCTATACATCAAGCTGTCCAAGTGCCAATTTTGTGTCGACGAAATCCCATGTTTAGGTGACTTTGTCGGACGCAAGGGCGTTCGAATGGACTCCGATAAGGTGAAGATTATCACAGATTGGCCTGTTCCCAAGACAAAGAAGCAAATGGAAAGCTTTCTGGGGACAACCGTCTACGTTTCTCAATTTTGCAAGGATTTCGCTCAGTTTGCAGGTCCTTTGCACGAATGTATCAAGGGAAAACGCTCTAGAGATGCGATCGAACTCAATGAGGACCAGCTGCGGTGTTTTGATGAGCTAAAGAAACGCTTGTCATCACCACCGGTTCTCCGTCTTCCTGATGTCATTAAGCCTTTCGGTATTCGAATGGACGCCTCAAATTTCGCAATTGGGGGAGTCTTATTTCAAAAGAAGGGAGAGTTGGAACATCCAATTGCCTTTACTGGCCGGAAGATGAAACCTGCAGAGCTGAACTACCCAGTACGCGAACAAGAGCTTCTCGCAATCATGCATGCT